GTACAGGGTCTTACTATGTAGCTTGGACTTGTAGTGATCCTCCTGTATCAGCCTTCCCCAGCACTGGGATTATAGGCATGTGCTACCATGTCTGGTTTCGGTAGCCAGTTCAGCACAGGGCTAGCATGGCATGTGGTCCTTACAACTTGCCAGGCTGGTACTTAGACTGCAAACTATCTCCCCAGCCCAGTTCTATTTGAACATATCCTATATATCTGTTAAAATAATCTGCAGGGAAACTTAGTTCTCTTTCCCATCTTGCAAGATGGTGGGTGAAAAAACTGAGAAGCCAGACAGAAATCTGAAGCCAAGAAGACTGCTCCCAGGGGTAAAGTGAAGGCAAAAAAGTCCAAGAAGGGGCAGCCCCACTGCATCCGAAATCCTGTCTTGGTTAGAAGAATTGGTAGATATTTCTGATCTGCTATGTATTCCGGAAAGGCTTTGTACAAGAGAAAGTACACAGCTACTAAATGAAAAGTTGAGAAGAAAAAGGAGAAAGTTCTTGCTATGATCACAAAACCAGTTGGTGGGGACAAGAATGGAGATAGCTGGGAGGTTAAGCTTCGAAAAATGCCTAGATACTACCCTATTGAAGATGTGCCCTGAAAGCTCTTGAGCCACAGCAGAAACCCTTCAGTTAGCATGTGAGGAAACTTTGAACTAGCATCACTCCCGGCACCGTCTTGATCATCCTCACCAGGCATCACAGAGGCAAGAGAGTGGTCTTCCTGAAACACTTGGCCAATGGCTTGCTACTTGTGACTGGGCCTCTTAGTCTCAATCATGTTCCTCTCCAAAGAACACACCAGAAATTTGTCATTGCCACCTCTACAAAAATTGACATCAGCAAAGTGAAAATCCCCAGACACCTCACTGATGCTTACTTCAAGAAGAAGAAGCTGCGGAAACCCCCACACCAGGAGGGTAAGATCTTCCACACTGAGAAAGAGAGATACCAGATTTCAGAGCAGTGCAAGGTGGATCAGAAAGCGATGGACTCACAGATTTTAGCAAAAATCAAAGCTGTTCCTCAGCTCCAGTGCTACCTGCGATCTGGTTTTGGTCTGACAAATAGAATTTATCCTCATAAGTTAGTGTTCTAAATTTCTTGCTAAGAACCTAATTAAGTAACTGATACATTTAAAAAATAATCTTCCAATAAGATTTAACAGTCTTTACCACTTTAAACATCTGGTATTGTTTTGTAGTGTTCTAAGACAAGTCCAGACTGGTATATAGCCCAGGCTAGCTTTGAACTCAGAGTTCATCCTGCCTCAGCCTTCCAAGTGCTGGGACTACAGGTGTGTGTCAGCATTCCTGGTCTGACACTGTTTGTTGAGTGCTGAGGATTGAACAAAGGGCTTTCCAGATGCTAGCCAAATACTCTTCCACTAAGCTATACCTCTAGCCCCTCAGATTTCTCTTTATTACTGATCCTATAAAAGACAGTATTCATCCTTTGAACGTAGTAGTTCTATTGCTGGTTACTATTCTAATGCTGACTGAAGAATCATTTAACTCAGACATTCTTCTAAGCTAAGCTAAAATTCTGGTTTAAAATGCTAACAACAGCCAGTGAGATAGTTCAGTGGACTAAGCATTTAAGTAAGCACAGGGGCCAGGGTTTAATCCCTGGCACCACATGCTGTGCCAGCCCC